TGACTTGTAAGGCTGGGAAGTCCTTTCATTTCTATTTTTTGTCAGTATTGGGGTTTGAACTCAGGACTTTGCACTTGCTAGGCAGGTGCTTTACACTTGAGCCACACCCAAGATGGGACACCTTTTTAAAGTTTTTATTAGGACATATTCGTTGTGCAGGAGGATTCATTGTGACAATTCCAAATAGGCTTACATTGCACATTGGTCAGATCGCCCCTACCGCCTCTCCCCTCAACCCCTGCCCCAACCCTCTTAAAGCAGTTGCAAGAGGTTTCCTAGTTCTGTTCATATAGGTATTTGAAGTCCATCACCATAACCCTCACATCTCATGTTATGCGATGTTACTGATGCTCTTTCATTCTCTTTGCCTTTCCCTTCTTCCCGAGTCCCACAGAGTAGCTCCACTGTCACAAGCACGTTCTACATCTGTTTGCGTATGATCATGCTTGTTTTTGTAGACAGTTTCCAAGACTGGACACGTTGGTCAGGACAGCAACGCCTCTTGCCCTCTCAGCAAGTCTGATTTCACCGTAGGAGACGTGGTGCGTTAGAGACACGAATTAACTTCAAGAATCACAGTGGCCACTCGGCCTGGATTTCCTCAGGGATGTCCTCCTCTCTCCCAGTGAGAAACATCTAAGGACTGGCTAATGTCCAGGTCTCCAGGAAGTGGAGATCACAGGCAGCATTCCGTGACACAGACGTCCTTAAGTCTGAAGGAAGCAGCTCACCAACTGGGCAGAAAACCCTGTCCCGAGAGGCAAAGACAGCATTTCTGTAGCTGCACCCATAAACCACCCACAGGGTGCACAAAGTCCCTAGACCCCGAGCCAGGGATACAGCACAAGTCCAGACGCCCTGTGGCCCCTGAGGCTTCGCCTGGGCCTGCGGTCACAGACTTGTTCATCAGCCACCCGCTCCACATAGCCACCAGGTAGCAAACACCATCCTCTATGTCAGGGATAGGACGGGGACAACACAGCTCTGTCCTTAGAAGACGCTGTCCCAGGGAGGTGTCCAGTGAGGAGGGTCAAGTCCATGCGGGGCACATGGCCACCCCATAGAAGTGGGCAGCCCAGAGCAGGTGGGTGGTCTGAGATTGGACAGCTGGAGAGAGGGAGGAGAACGAGATACGGGGGCTGGACACCAGTGTGGTCATGGGCTTCGGGCTGCATCTGACAGTGCTGGTGGTAAGGACAGCCAGCAGCCACCTCCCCCTGAATTGCCCATCTCCTGGCACTGGGTGGAAACTCAGCAGCCCTGGACTCCCATGGCCATGGGAGCAGCATCAGAGCAGTTGAGGCTGTCCACCCGAGCCTCCACCGGTTCACAGCTGCCTCCACAGCACAGCAAGTCAACCATGCTCCCCTCGGTACCCCAGCCCAGGCTCTGTCCTCAACCACGCCTTCCCCACCAGAGGCCAGAGCCAGGCGAGCTGAGACAGCCACCAGTCCTTCTGTCTTGCAAGACACTTTTCTGTGTGGGGCTCTGTGTGTGGTCTCTTGCTCCTCAACCCCCTTCTAGGACAGGGGCCACAGCCAGCCCCTCTCTGAGCTTCTGTCCTGGGTCCCTCTTGTCCCTCATCTCCTGCTGAGTCACCAGCAGTGCGCCTACTGGCACAGAGCCTCTGTCTCCTCTGCTCGTCTTTCTCAGGTGAACTGTGGCCTTGTCACATCAGGGGACCAGAGCCCACAGCAGCCCCTGGGGAGGTGGAACAAGCACCTGGGGAGGTGGACAAACCCCAGACAGGGCTTAACGTCTTCTGATACCTGCCATTCTGCACGAGCCAGGTGCGTCTCCTACTCGCTCATAACTGAACCTAGAGCAAGGCTGTATTCTGAGACCAAATCCCAGGAGAATGGCTTGGTCCCTGCTACAGGCCTGTCCCAAGTTTCTGTAAGAGACAGAAACCTTTCCGTTCGGTCTCGCAGGGTCGCTGTGAGTTCAACGTGACTGCTCATACAGTAGGTGGGCATTATCGTTCTTATCGCTGTTGTCACTTATTCACACAACGTCCCAGCATTTGCCCAACTGCACAAGGGTGTCTTCTGCCTGCTGGCTCCCGGGGCCACTGGCGCTGGCAGGTGCTGCTCCTCCCAGTCCTTGGTGGCACTTCATTCACCCTTCAATTCCTCTGTCCAGAAGTTGAAGGAAAGTCTGCAAGTTCATTTTTCTTGAGGAGAAAGCATGCCTGTTTAAAGACTGTGATGGCTCATATCTATAATCCCATCTACTTGGGAGACAGAGATGGGCCAACCCAGGGAAAAAGTTAGTGAGACTCCAATCTTGACAAACAAGCCAGGTGTGGTGGGGCATACCTGTGATATCAGCTATGGAGGAGGCACAGATAGGAGGATCAGGGTCTGAGGCTAGCCCTGGGCAAAAACACCACCCTACCCAAAAAATAATTAAAGCAAAGAGGGCTGGAGGTGTGGCTTGCATGGGACAGCAACTGCCTAGTAAGCACGGGGCCCTGGGTTCAAACCCCTGTACTGCCAAATTAAATAAATAAGCAAACAAACAAACACATAATCCCAGTGCTGCTCAGGAGGCAATTCCAGGCAAAGTTAGTGAGACCTTGTTTCAAAAATAAAATAAACAAAAGAAGGACCGAGGCATGATGCAAGTGGTAGGGTTCAAACCCCAATACCAAATGAAATGAAATAAAATTCTCCATGCATGGTAATCATCTAACCCCCCAACACAGTCTGCACCCCCTAAGCAATGGCATCTCTTCCTCCCCTCCCTCCCTAGCCCCATAAGCTCTCTCCTGGTTCTGTCCCTGTGAGTTTCCCCACCAGGGACCTGATGTAAGCAAGGTCACCTGGCCTCGTCCTTTTGGGTCAGGCTTAGTTCACTGGGCAGGATGTCTTCAATTCCATCCATGTAGTGGATCACACCAGATGTCACCCTTCCTGCAGCTGAACAGCTCAACTCTTGGAAGCAAACGGCAGGGAGATCGCCTGGCAACTGCTGAAGTGCGCATGACCAAAGCCTGCAACAGAAGAAAAAGTAGACACAGTAGCTTCACCAAAACTCACCACTTGGTGCCTCAGGGGACGCTCTCAAGCAAACGAAAAGACACCCCACCAGTTTGCAAATCTAACCCTAATCTGACAAGGGATCGACAACTTTATTTAACACATCAGGCTTTTTATCCAAGTGCTGTACAAAATTTACTTTGTCTGGAGTAAATTGTTGGTTTTGGTGGTTGCCTTTCTCAGTGTTCAGCTCCTTGTGTGTTTTGGTCTACAGGTTCATTTTAAGTGGAGGATTCTTCAGCTCTTGTCCGTTCCCTCTCGTCCTCCCTCTCTGGTTCTGTCATCCACTCTGTGCTTCTGTAGTGCATCTCATTTTCCAAACATGGCTGCATGGCACCTGCTATCCAACCTGCTCTCCTCACAATGCAAAGATGGATGCACGGTGCCAGTCATCCCACCTGCTCTCCTCACAAGGTGGCTTTCACTCCTCCCTTTGGAAGGTGACTGAGTGAGATCATAAAGTGTGCCCTGGGCAGTCACATGTTTCATTTTGCTTGTTTTCTGTTTTCCGTTTTGTGGTCCTAGGGTTTGAACTCAGGGCCTTGTGCTGCTTTAGTTGTTTTCCAAACAGGTCTTCTATTTTTGCCCTGGCCACTCTGGTCCCCAGTTCTCCTATTTTTGTGCCACCATGCTTGACCATTGATTGAAATGGGGTCTCACTAACCTTTTGCCCAGGCTGGCCTCTGATCCTCAGTCTTCCTGATCTCTGCCTCCTAGTAGCTGGGATTATAAGTATGAGCCACTGGACCAATCTGACATGTTTAGTTTTTTTTTTAAAAGAAATTACCGAACTGTTTTTTTTGAAGGGGGCTGTGCCATTTTATATTGCCACATTCCTGCATTTGACTTTGACTTCTGATGACCAGGACAACACCACTGCTGACTCAGGGCTGGAACAGAAGCCAGACTGTTCCATCCCCAAAGTAGAGGGACAAGGACATGCCCTGTCAGATGGCTAGGGTACTTGGCACACTCAGGCTTCTCCTCCAAGGACAGCCCCTAGATGCAGGAGCCAGGACCATAACCCCTTCTTTCCCAGGGGTAATTTCAGGGTTCCAGGGTCTGCTATGAGGGGAATTCTAGAAAAAAGAGAATCTGGCTTCCTGTCTCTGGCAAGCTCACAGACATGGCTGTCCATCAGACTCAAAAGCATGTCCACTGTGAAGCCAAAGGCCCCCTTCACAACCCACCTCTTCACTTCTTCCAGATGGAGGAAGAACCCTCCTCTTCTCTGCTTGCACCTGCCCATCCCAGTACCAGAGCTTGGAGCTGGGGTGCAGCTGATGACAGTCCACTCTGGGGGACTGGAGACCTCTGTCCCCACCCCGGGGTCCCAGGAGGGATGTAAAGTGGGCCCTGGAGGGAAGCTGGACCCTGGGTCTCTGGACCAGTGGGCAGTTTGGGAGGCAGGGAGACACCCTTGGGCACCTGGATCCACCTGGACCCTACTCTGTAGGGGGGAATATAGGGGGTGGTGTTGACCAAGGCCGGGTTGCAGAGGGGACAACACACGTTTGTTCGTGGCTGGACCCGTAGCTGTGGATTCTGCAGAGAGTTGGTGTCCATCCTGGACACTCCACCCCTGGGGGCGCACGGAGTGCCACCGGCGCGGAGCCTGTAAGAGTCGGATTTGGACTGCGGGACGTGCGGGCTGGGGGTGGCCGCCAGTGCCTGGGTCCATCCTGCGTGTCCTCGCCCGACCGTCCCCCTCCTCTGCGGGTCAGAGGGTGGCCAGGCAGCCTGGGCCCGCTCTTCGCTGCTCCGCGGGTGGCTGGGGCCTCCCCTGCTCCAGGATTGGACGCGAGAGAACCGGGCGGGGCGGACCGGGGACCCCAGAAGCTCAGGCGCCCTGCTGCCTCCGTGCAGACGCTGCTGGCCGGCGCCTGGGAGAACCCGGCACGGAGCCGGCGGGCGGCGCGGAGGAGGCAGCGGCGGCCCCGGGAGCGTAGGAGGAGCACGATGTTCGACAGCTCGCAGTATCCCTACAACTGCTTCAACTACGACGCCGACGACTACCCAGCCTGCAGCTCCGACGAGGAGAAGCGGCTCACGCGGCCTGCGTACAGGTGACCGCAGAGGGGGCTTTGGGCACAGCTAGGGTCGCCAGGACCTGCCCAGGATGGAGGGAGAGGATGGGCTTCCAAAAGACATGTTCGGGCGCACACGTCGGGGTAGCCTGAGGGGTCCCCAAGACTGAGGAGCCCATCTACAGTCTACAAGGAAGCAGAGAACAGCTAGCCAAGGGTCACCAATCCAAGCAGCTCTGCTCCAACAGCACCCCGCTAATGTCCCCTCGAGGCCCAGGGAGACGCGCTGGCCAGGGGCTCTGGGGCTCTGGGGAGTTCTGGGGGGTCCGGGGTTCTGGGGGTTTAGGGGTGCTCCAGGGCTCGGGGACCACAGCTGCCCTGCCCGGCGCCCGGGTTGCCTGACACTCCCGCCCGCAGCTACATCGCGCTGATCGCCATGGCCATCCAGCAGAGCCCCGCGGGCAGGGTGACCCTGTCCGGTATCTACGACTTCATCACGCGGAAGTTCCCCTACTACCGCGCCAACCAGCGTGCCTGGCAGAACTCCATCCGCCACAACCTGTCGCTCAACAGCTGCTTTGTCAAGGTGAGCGTCCCCGCGCGCTCCCCACCCCATTTCCCGCGACCGACCTCCTGAGCTTCGCTGGGTTGGGAACACCTGGGCCACTCATCCATCCCTGGGGATGGAGAGGGAGTGTCTTCCCAGCAAATTGGGCTCATGAACAAGGCCACCCCTGGCGGCCGGCTGCACCTCTCCAAAGGCGGTTCTGTGGTGCGGACCCGGGACCGCACGCTGAGCCCCTCTCGCCGCACAGGTGCCGCGGACCGAAGGCCATGAGAAGGGCAAAGGCAACTACTGGACGTTCGCAGGCGGCTGCGAGTCGCTGCTGGACCTCTTCGAGAATGGCAACTTCCGCAGGCGGCGCCGGAGACGCTGCCCCAAGCGTGAGGGGCCCCCGGGTCCCCCTGGGGAGCAGGACGCGGGCAGGTCCCCAGACCCCAACAGAGCGCGCGTCCCCCACGGAGAACCCCCGGCCACCGCAAGCCCCGCTGCCCACAGAGACATCAAATTCAGCATCGATTACATCCTCTCCTCCCCAGACCCCTTTCCCACGCTCAGGTCGCCCTATCTGACACAGGAGGCCAAATGCCCCCCACTGGAACCGCAGCAAATGAACCTCCACTTTCGGGCAATGTGACGGGACTGAGGTTCTTCCCACCTCAGTCTGAGTCAGTTTGAGCGCTCCTACCTGATCCTCACCTTCAAGTGCATTTCCAATTCCACCCTGAGCCACACTCACAAACTTCTCCAGAAGGTCCCCAGAGCTGACTGGGCCCGAGGTTGGAAGGAAAGGCAGACTGCTCTCATAAAAGGTATTTATGGCGAAAAAGACTGCTTGCAGGCTTGGCTCCAACTTGACTTCAGGGTTTGCTGTGGATTCCCAGATTGCTGAGGTTGAGAAGAAGAAGAAGCCAAGGAGTGTCCCCTGGATTTTGTGAGACTGTGTGTGGCTTCATAGACAAACCCATCCCAAGCTGACAGTGCTCAGTAAACTACTAGTGAAGCTGTTTTGCACCTTCCCTGAGTTAAAAATAAGAAGGTGAAAACACTGCAGTCAGACCTTCACTGATTCTGTGAAATTAGTTACCCAGTTTTCTGTCTGTTACAATCAGAAGTGACAGTGTATCTCGTGTTGTCTGCAGTATGTTTTGTTGATGGTTATCAAAGTCTCTGCACTTTTTATCCAGGAAAGACAGAAGGGAGAAGGAAGGGTGACAGGAAGGCACCCAAATTTGGGAGGACACTGAGGGCAAAGTCCCAATTTCTTGATTCTTCTGAATGGAGTGTGGGCCCTACTCAGCCACCAGCTGGTTTCTTGCAACTCCCACAAAAGCAGGCACCACAGAGAGCAGGCTGTGCCTAACATCATTGCCATGCTACGAGGTAGGGAATTGCGAGCATTGAGGTGGGTACACTCCATTTGAAATGTAAATGGTTTAATTACTGTGTAGAGACGGGCATTTTAAAAAACACAATTATGCACAGTGAAACTATTTGGCCAACCTTATCATTTTTCACCAGCCCATTTTTTGCAGAGTTAATTGCTTTCTGTGACTTAATTTGAACATTAGTATGGATTACACCTAATTCGATGTGCGAGGTGATGGTGATTGGCTAATTCTGTGAACAGCAAAAACACACGCAACGAGGTTGCTGTCTGGGTTGGAAATTACAGTCTTGCTTAGAAACAGGTGCTGGGGCTTGTGAAGTTAGCCAGGCTGCAGAGACTGACCTGAGCCACGCCAGACACTGGCCTGCTTAGACTTGCCTGTGTTTCTGTTTGGAAAGCCTGACCTCTCATTAATTCCAGTATTTCTTTGTTCACCTGCCCTGTAAATAAAGCTTCAATGTGTGGCTTTAATTGTTTTGGGAAGAGTACCACCTCTGTGAAATGCCTGGCCTGTGACTCTGTGATGAGATGGGGATATGGTGCCTGCTTCGTGGCCTCCAAGCCCTGCTCACCACAGCCTCTGCCCAGGAGCTTCCCCAGTGGTCCAGAGGGAGGGGGAGCTGGCCGGTGAGGCCCTTCCTGAACCCATACAGGGATGTCTCCTTCCAGAACTCTGCTCCAAGGCAGCCAAGTCCTTTGTTGGCCAGTACGATGGGGAACCTGGGTCATGCTGCCTCTGTGGCCTGCACACCCCCTGGGACACTGCCGGCACCCTTGTACCATCTTATGGACGGGGCCTTCACACGGGCTCCATTCTGGCTCCAGCATGTGTGCATGTCATAGGCGTGCATCGTCTGTGTGCAGCACTGCTATTTAAACCCCTTTGTTAGATGTGCTAGAAGTACCCTTGCAAATTGTACTAGATGCAGTGTAGCGTGTGCTCAGATGCAGAGCACTGAACGCAAGAGAATGGCACAGAGTATCCGAAGGGTTATTTTTCTGCTACCAACTGAGCAAATAAAGTTTGCATTTTTATCTTTGGGGTTCTTGCTTTATTCCTGCATGTTGCTCTAGTTAGTAAAGGCTGATCTGAAACAAAATTCTTTGTCAGGTGGACAGAATCTGTGGAGGCCTCAGGCTCAGAGGAGAGAAGTTTTTGGTGGCGTCCACCATCATAGCTAAGCACCAACTCAGCCGTTGGACAAGGCAAGGGCGGGGGGTGCCAGACAAAGTCTGTAACGATGAGGTGTAGCATTTGTTTTGCAAAGGATATCAATCATGTTCCTAAAAGCAAAGGGACATTTTCAATTTGGCAGCCTGTGATATCCTACACCTTCAGAAGTGTTCCCAGCCCTTGGAGTGAGTGGCATTTTAATACGAAGAACATAGCAGGGTGAGGGCTGGCCGTGACCTATTCAAATGTCGCTGCCACTGCACACACCCGCCTGACGCAATTATAATTAAATGCGTTATGCCTCCCTTGCAAATCTGCAGATTGATCATCGATATATACATTAGCACCACATTACCCCCGAGCAGATGTCTGCCACACACGGGTTATGGATCAGCAGGTTTCCATTAACAAAGTTGGGAGGTGCCACCAAGCAGGGGTTCTGGGAAAACGTGTGCAAATTACCGTAGTCACAACCAAAGTTCCCGGGCCTGGCAGCACCCAGCGTGAGGCTCCATTCCCAAGACCCAGGGAGATTAGAGCACTTCTGCTTGCAGTCACTGGATCAGGGGTGCCCACAAATGCTGCAGAAGAACTCCGATAGCTCTTGAGGAAGCGTGGGGATCCCACCCACATCCAGCTTCCCCATGGGTGGAGGGAAAACAGCTAGCTCCGGGGTGCAGGCCAATCTCTGTGATGCCAGACCGGTGTGGCCCAACAACACCAGGTCCCTCCCAGAGATGCCTCCGTGGCTGACAGGACACCTCCTTCTATGCTGAGTGGGAATGGACCCCTGGACGCTGTCATCCACCAAGCCCTGACTGCCTCCTGGAGGCTACTGTTTGTCCATTCAGCAAACATGACCTGTGGCACAGTGCCTGTCCAACAGCAGGGCAGGAGATGTGTGAAGTCACTTGGGGCACATGGATTTCCCACAGTTGTGGGGTCAGAAAGAGACCCGAGGGCACCGAGACAGCTCAGTGTGTAGTCAGCAGGGCCACTGAAAACCAAGTCCCTGAGGACAGCACACTTAGGTGAGCCCAGTCCCGAGGCCCTGACTCCCCAAAGGAGTCAGTGGCCTGCAAAGTGGACCAGACAGCCAGCATGGCTGCAGGGAGGTGTGGGAAGAACCTGGCCACACTCACCCCAGCCACGTGTCCAGGCTGAGTAAAGGGAACACGTCTTTAACACTTCTTTGAAATGAAGACTGTGCTTCTCTGTTGCTCTTCTTTCTGATTTGTGGAACTCCTGCCCAACCCAGAAGCCCAGTCACCTCCATCTTCTGTGCACTTGGCCTTGGCTGATATGGCCTCTACATGGCCAACTGACTTCAGCCTGTACACCACACTCCTGCTGGAGCATCCAAGCCTTTCTTCCTGGGCTGCTCCATCCAGGGCTCATGAAACAGTTCAGGATCCAGATGAACCTGCCGATGGGGATGGTGACAAAGGTTGGGGGGCTGAGCCCCCTTAGCTTCACCCAGGCCTTAGGTCTACCCAGCCAGAGCCGCTACCTCAAAGTGACTTTGTGGTCTGTGGTGGCCCTGGTCTCCACTGAGTGTCATCAGAAGGCCATCTGCCCCCTGCACCTGGGGCTCCTCACTGTAACATGTGTTGTACCGGCCCTGTGCAGGAGCTGAAGCATCAGCAGTAGGCCAGGCCTGCCTCCTGTCCCTCGTCCCCACCTCCTCTACCCTTCTGTGTCCTGGGACTGGGAATGGACCAGCTTGCTGGGGGTAAGGACCGGAGGGCCTCTGTGGGCAAACCAGTGCCCACAGGCACCTGTCTCCTCACCTCCTTCCCATCTATTCCAGGGGCAGAGGCAACTTTGCAGTGACTCTGAGGTATCTGAGATACACAAAAACCAGGGCTTTTTCCTCCAATCTATGTCTGTTTCAAACCCGCGCCCCCCTGCAATTTTTCTGGGTAATCCACGATGGGCTCCAGCAGCAGGTCCTGCCCTGGGTTGTTCTGCAAAGCCATTTCTACTTCCCAGGGTAGAGGCTGCAGGAAGGATGACTGGGATCCCTGTGGAAATCCCCCAGGGAATCAGTCCAAACTAAGTGAACTCACCCTGAAGCCCGGGGCCCTGGAACTTCCTGGCATGAACACCTAAGTGAGGAGCCCAGACAGGCTGCTTCTCATGAAGTAGGAGGCTGAAAATGAATGTTTCAAGGCCCTCCTGGGGCTGGACATAGAGCAGCCCTGTGCCCTCCAGCCCCATGAACTCCTGGTCTATCTTTTCTGACCTAGTCCTTACCACTACCTGGTTCCCACCTGATGCTCCTCCAACCTGAGGGTCCCCCTGCAAGCCAGCAGCTCCACCTTGGTGCCTGTGGGCTCTGCTGAAACCCCTTATGGCCCCTCAGGCCAAGGACAGAGTTTCTGGTAACTCAGATCTAAGTTCATTTTGGCCAGCTTAGAAATCCAACCTTGGTCTGAGCAGACTTTGGGGTACATGCCTGGGGTCACTGACCTGTATCTCCTAGTTTGTGGTAGAAGAGGAGGCTGGGGACATTTGTAGGCAAGGACTGTCCACTCTTACTGCATGCTTTCCAGGGACAGGGCTACCCAAGATCCCAGTCCAGCAGAACTCCCCCCCCACCCAAAAAAGGGTGCTGCCTACCCCAGCCAGGGCCCCAACAAACTCCACATGGAGAATGGGGTAGAGAAGCAGGAAGGTTCAGGTTCCTCCCCCTCACCAGCCGCAAATGTGATGGTCACTGGAGTAAGCAGCCTGACACTCGCTCTGTCTTCAAGGACTTTGAACAACTGCAAGCGTCCAAGCACTGCAGGTCCCCAGGGTGGCGTGAGGTGTCCCATCTGAAACCTGGTGAAGACAGTGGCTGGCAAGGAGGCTCTGGCTCACTGTGGAACCCACAGTGTGGTGGGGGGACCAGGAAGTGCCACCATGCGGACCCCCCCCCCAGAATGCTTGATCCCCACCCTGAACACAGGTGATGGGCAAATCGGTCCTGCAAGTGGAGAGGAGGCCGCTCAGGGAAGGGAACTGGCATGACCAGCCAGGTGGCCACAGACTGCCTCCTGACACCCACGACTTACAGAAGCACAGAGAG